AAATATTTAAACTTATTTATACTAAGAAGTAATATCCTAATAAATATGAAAATATTGAAAAATAACCTATGTTTAAGTTCTTGCTTTTTATTATTACTATTATTCGTAATAATCACACAAAATGTGTCAGAATTGGGAGTGAATTGTGTGTGGAGTGGTGGCCGACGTAAAGGACGGACACTATTTCACGACGACCAGGACGTCCTGATTACTATGATTCTTGTTTTCCCCTTTTATTTCCCTCTTTGGGAGAGATTTTACAACACGAGCGTAGAGTATGGGACGGACGCAGCCTTAGCTCAGTTCCCAAACCTCCCGCCCGGAGGTCTTCCCGTTTGTGGCGCTCAATGCAAACGTAAGAAACGGTCGGCTTTTGGGCAACGATTCGGACGACAGTTATTCCAATACGACGAACAAGTGGTGTATTTCCTCATTGAGTTGATCGCCGCCTTCCCGGTGCCCATAATACCCAACCCATACGCCGACGCCAATAAGAAACCCATTCGTCAGAGACTGAGACCGGGATTTAATTCATTGCCCGGTTTGGACGGACTCCGGGAGTTAGCAGGTCTGCCAGTCTTTGTGTCCATTTTTGTGTCTTATTAGTCATTATATTGTTATTAAAGGTTTGTTTGCAATGAAGAGTGATTCCAGAAGTGATTATAAGAACGACACCAATGGTTACCATTCTTTGTATTCAAACGACACGAATCAAAAGCCTTATGGACAGCATATTAAGAGCGCCGTCACATATGAAAATGTAGACCCAATGAGATCACACAATGACTTACCGTCCCCTCAAAGCATGGATCATACGTTTCGACAAACGGGAAGAAGTTTTGATGAAGATTTGCATTTAATGAATGCGACAAACGCTAGAAACCTATGTTTTAATCATAAATTTAATGTTCAATCCTCTCGTAGTATTCAAGAGAATTGCTTTTTAAACGAGAAAAATAGTTATAAATTGAGTGCTTATGAGTCGGTTTCCATCGATAGGAGGAAAATGGTGTCCACTCTTACGCTTAACTGGTCTTCACTTATATCTGCAATGATTTGTCATTTCACGGAATGGTATTTGAAGAATAAAGTCAATTATTTGACGAGAAATGTATTTTTCGGCTCAATTAAGACTATTTGTCAAAACAGACGTTTACTGTATTTCACTATATTTCGCAAATATTGTAATTGTCTAACACTTAAGAAAATTATTTAAATATAAATTATTTGACGAGAAATGTATTTTTCGGCTCAATTAAGACTATTTGTCAAAACAGACGTTTACTGTATTTCACTATATTTCGCAAATATTGTAATTGTCTAACACTTAAGAAAATTATTTAAATATAATACTAGATTACCCTGATTGTGTGTCATAAAATTAAATTACTTACTGAATTACTAGCATGATTATAAACCTTAGTTTACTCTTCTTAAAATATCAAGATTCATCCAGTTCCTTTTCGCATTAAATAATCTGTATAAATTAGGTGGTACAGGTATTTGAAATGTCATTTCACAGAATTACCAAATGTCAACTTTTAAAATCATTAATTATTTAATAATTAAAGAAAATTTTATTTATTTTTAAAGTTTTAAATATTTATAATTATATTTACACTACAGTTGTAGTATTTGCAGTGAATTTTGAATAATACATAGGAATAGAAAACTCAGTGTATATCATAATCTTAAATGATTTCAATTTTGCACATTTGGTCACAAATTGAGTTAAATCTGAATCATTGAGTTTAATCTCATTAGTAGTTCTTATGACCAGAGAGTTGAGAAGCGATAGCTTTGAGATGTAATTCAGACAAATCCAGTTTATACCACATTTGCGGTCAGTTATGTCCAGTGATCGAAGGTTTGGCAGATTTGTCACAATTTGTTGGAAGAGTTTGTAATTAATTCGATACAAATTGAGTGACAAATGCTTTAGTTTGGGCCACCGATTCATCTGATAGTCTGCGACCACTTCCTCGCCATTCACTAAATCGATACTCAAATTCAAACGCTTTAATTGCGGTATAAATGGCATTGAATTAAAGGTTTCGACATTCATTTCGCTTGTGTTTGTGTGCAATGAAAGCAAAAATATGTTCAATTGCTTGCACTTTGAGCCAATTGTGTCCACAAAACTGGTGATCGAGTACTCGACGGCCTCATCACCGAAAAGTATGCGTAACTCTTGAAGTCCTTGTAATTCAGTCAATTGATTCATAAGTCCAGTCACATTGCCCTGTGATTGAGGTTTCGGGAGGTTTCGCACCGAAAGTATTTCCAAACATTTATTATTTGAGACAAAAGTGTCAAACATTTCATTTGTGAAACTTTGGTCGAAACTAAACTCAAATGCAGACAAATCGTGAACTAATATCTCGTTTTCATGACTGAAAACATGAGACAAACTCTTGACTTGTAATTCACGCAAACTGTGGCAATGGCTGAGGTGTTGATTAATACTTTCTTGACTTAGATAATCAACTTTTGTGAACATTGGCACAAAATTTCGAAACAAATATTGAGCCAAATTGTGGTCAAAATCACTGAAATTGCATTAAATTTGTCGCAAATCTAGACAATAATCTTTGAAGTGGTCGATCACTTCCAACAGGTCTCTCGTGGACTCATCACCCAATCGACAATCAATTTGTTGAATGTTTGGACACTTCTGTACGATTGTGGCGATCGATGACAAGTCAGAGAACTGTTTGCCGTAAATGTTTGTCTCCATCGGCACACCACTCATGTCTTCGTCCTTTATCTCCAAAACTGTGGTATAAATCGCTCTTTGGATTTGTTTTGAAAGACATTCATATCTGAAGCGGTCTTTGAATGAGAGATAATTCAGTAATAAAGGACACAAATTGTCATCAAATCTGTCAAACGAATCCTTACTATAAGGTTTGAACTAATTTTTAAAGTCTTTATTAGTGTCTATTTCTTAATCAAAGAAATTAAATTACCAGAAGATTATCATTGACTTGATCTTTGGTGACAACAATCTTGACACTTGTCTTTTTGCCGCCACGTCTTGGTTTCCAACTGAAGAATCGACACATAATTTAATGTTTGATTGCTTTATAGCAGTTTTGTATAAGAATTAACCGTTAGATTATTACGGGTACTAATAATTTATTAGTGAATCATTAGTTTGGGATTTGTATTTTTAATTATTAGTACTCTTAGTTACAGTACTACACATTTTGATAAAATGTTTTAAATCTCAATTAAATAACAATAGATTTAATTCTTGCACTAATTGTGATTAGTATTTGAATGAAACATCTAATGATGTCTTCAATAATGATAACAAAATTAATCATTTAAATCAGCCAACAATTTATTCATTTGTAATCCAACCGTTAATTCTGAAACAAACTATTAGTATATTATTTGATCCACTCTTCAGTTGAATACCAATTAAGACAATAAACAAAGTTTTGCAAAGAGTTTAGCGCTGAGAATATGAGTGAAAACTATAGGAAGGATTCGTTTGATAGGTTTGGCGACGATTTGTGCCAATTATTGCTGTCTTATCAGACATTTAAGGACCGATTCCGTCACGAATGCGTTTCCACTCAATTCCGACGACTTGTTTATCGCTCACTACAAGTGGTGACCATCGATGACAGGCTTGTGAATCAGATGAAGAAAACGAGTCTTTCTGGCAGAAAGGTCTTAGACTCCGCTATTATGGCATCAGTACTGAAGAAGTTGCGGCACATCCAGTGTCTCGACATATCAGACATCAGCAGAACTCACAAACAATCGTACGCTTCATTGGCTGAACTACAAGAGCTCTGCCAACAGATCCGTACAATTCACTGCAACTTTGACATCAGATTTGAGAAACCATTTGTCGAGGCGTTTGGCCCAAAGATCACAGGAATCGCATGGAAGTCCTCAGTGAACGGGTCTTATCTCAACCTCTGCCACAACTTGTCTGAAGTGAACATTCCGTCCATCGGTTNACTGACTGTCTTATTTAAACAGCGAGTATGTGATAAAATCTCTCTCTCTCTCTCTCTCTCTCTCTATGGCACAGGGGTTACCACAAAACACTACTGCAATTCTTTGGTTATTGAAAGCACATTCAATTATAACTAACTTTGATATTAATATTTTTATATAACATTACTTCCCTTAATACCTAATATTATAAATTACAATAACATTTTCGATTATAATATATTACACTAATTTTAATTGTCTAACTGGTCATCTCTAATTCATATGATATCTATTTCTAGATTTCTATATAATAAGTGTTTGTTTGTTCAGAAATACATTTTGCATACATTTATACAAATAATTGATCTGCTAGTCTAGAGTAATAAAAACATTTAACAAGTTTAAGGATTGGTTAAAAGTTTTTATTTATTAATACTTGCATTTCCTATCCCTTGGCTATACCTCGGTTTATATATATAGTGTATAAACTATATTAATAGTGTTAGTAATAGTAATAACAAAATATTTAGGTTTGTATTATAAATCCGGTTTATTTTCTCCACATATTTATTATATTGGGATTTAACCAAAAAAATATGAATCAAATTAATTATATGTATTTTATTCACATCTCATCACTGACTGTCTTATTTAAACAGCGAGTATGTGATAAAATCTCTCTCTCTCTCTCTCTCTCTCTCTCTCTCTCTCATCAAAACAATCTTGACGTCAATATTGGTCTCAATATTTATTTATTAATAATTTATTATCCAATGTATGAGTGGAATAAGAACTGAATTTTGAGTTATTCTTATCGGAAACAACATGTATTTCATTTACAGTACGAGTGGAACAGTTTACAACTCATTTACAATATATTATCATGGTTCATCTATTAATGTATTATTTTTCTTTTAAAATTGTAAATAAATTATTTGATATAATTTCAAAGTTTGATACAAGTTTACTGTTATAATAAGCAAGGTCAAAGGTTACAGTTTTTAAACTCATAAATTATGTTTTAGTTATGCAGACAACTATTCTTTACGTAAATTTAAATATTTATTAATTCTTAAATAGATTTGTTTTCAATCAATGCTCAGTTAATACTTTACGATAAGATCCCCTTCTGAGAAATGACATTAAAATATTTCTATAATTATAGTTAAATATTAGATTAATTTAAAATTAAATTTAAGGTCAAAATCAATTTCCATGACAAAAACATGGATCATTCATATCAGTGCTAATTTAATAATGTTTCCATTATTGATATAAGAGTAACTATAATTCACTAATATTAATAGTATACATTATTTAATAATATTTGCTATAAAAATTATTTGCGATAATAATTAATTTTATTTATTCATTTAACGAGTATACAAAACTTTACTTTAATTAATTATATTCAAGTTAAATAATAATTATTTATATTTGCCTATTTACCGTCTGTATTTACAGTTGTATATTCAAAACATATAATGTCCGATAAATTTAAAATATCATTTATTTTATTTAATTTAAAAATTCTGGTTCATTTTTCAAAATTATCATCTGGTAATGAATTACATGCCCATAAAATGAGTGCTACAATTCACATTATAATTAACTTGAATAACAATTGTATACAACTATTTGCATGAATACTGGTCAGCACTGGAGGAGTCGTGTGTCCTGAAGCCGGAGACCGGGGACTGTAAGGCACTGATGCAGCGCTGGTATTACGATATCGCGCGTAAAGATTGCGAGCATTTTATTTACGGCGGTTGTGGCGGCAATCATAACAACTTTAAGTCAAAGTCTCAATGCCGTCAATCATGTAGGGCTATGCCTATAAGACCGAGTAATTTAAATGCAAATGTCAACCAATTAAAGGGCACTGGTAGCACAGTAGTAACTGACCTAAAAATGATACATGTAATACATTTATTTGAAAACTATAGAAAACTGTGAATTAGCGGCCGATTCCGGTGAATGTGATGCACACTATGAGCTCTGGTTTTACGATTCCTATGAAAGCGATTGCAAAACATTTGTATATAACGGATGTGCCGGAAATGCAAATAAGTTTATGACGAGAGAGTTGTGCGAAAAGTTTTGCATCAAAAAAGTTGGACCTCCGATCCAAACACCAGGCCTATTGCCAGAATCTATTTCTGGATTTACAGGCTATGATTATGTAGAAAGAAGTTTTGACATCAATGAGTCCAATGAAAATGAGTTAGAAAGGGATGCCCCCATACCAGTCATATCCAAACACCAGGCCTATTGCCAGAATCTATTTCTGGATTTACAGGCTATGATTATGTAGAAAGAAGTTTTGACATCAATGAGTCCAATGAAAATGAGTTAGAAAGGGATGCCCCCATACCAGTCATGTCAACTGACCAAAAGGTATACACAGAACCCAGCGCTGCACCTATTGATGGAGAACCTGTAGTCATACCACAGGACGGGATGATGTTCTTCTCATCCATTGAGAGTCTTATGGCTGATGACAACCCAACCAATAAGACTTCCGCGAAAGACCAAAAGAAAGGTTTGTTATTATTATCATTATTCAAAATATACAGTAATATCAAAACTTATATCCATACATCAACTTTATATTGATATTTAAACAAGTAATAAAATTATAAAAATGTTCAACATTTATTTTGTATTCTTTAAATCTTTTTGAATATTTGAAAAACTATTTTAGCTCCCTTCATTCAAATAATTATTTTAATAAATTCATTTAATTTTATTTGATTTTAGTTGTGGACAGCAAGGGTCCCATAACAAAAACCGACTGTTCTCTACCACCAGCAGAAGGTCTTTGCAGAGCACTGATCCCTAAATGGCATTACAGTCCATCTGATAAGACGTGTAAATCGTTTAATTACGGAGGATGTGGTGGTAATCGCAATAAGTTTGAGATTATAGAGGAATGTCTTGATGCGTGCAGTAAATTATGAATATATCTATTGTGTAAAATTGTGTCTCAATTTTGCATTAATAATCAGATCATTAAAATTATTATTAATTTATTGTGTAAAGGCATTAACTGATATCTTAAAATTTTAAATACAATAAAATTTTATAAGTTAATTGTAATAAATGATAACAAAAGTAAAATTAATTAAAATTAAGTAAAACAGTTTAGCTGTTTGTTTGGGTTATTACAATTTGCATTTCTTTAATAACTTTTATTTTACTATTTGTTGTATTAAACAAATGATTTTAGAACTCTATAAGGAAAGGATTATTCTTAGTCTTATCAGATCCATGTCTATTATGTTTAGAAGTCCGCAGATTTTTATTTAAAGCCATAATTTCTTTGATTTCATCGTCAGTTAACGTGAAATGAAATACATTTATATTCGACTTAATTCGCTCTTTTGTGCCACTCTTTGGGATGACACTCAGTCCCCTCTGGGTCTGCCATCGTATACATACAGCCCCTTCGCATACTTTATATTTTTTGGCCAACTTTTTAATGACTGAATCCTCTAACGGAGACACATCTATACCATTGCCAACTCTGGCGAGCGGTGAGTATGCAGTCATCGCTATATTCCGTTGTTTACAGAATTGAAACAGTTTTTCATTACTTAGGATTGGATGCGATTCCACTTGATTTAGCACCGGAATGGTCGATGTCTTCTGTATTATATCTTTCAATTGCTGGGAATTGAAGTTTGAGACACCGATTGAACGAACCAGTCCTTCAGTCACAACAGTTGTGAGTGAGTGAGTGAGTGAGTGAGTGAGACAGACAGACAGACAGACAGACAAAGAGAGAGAGAGAGAGAGAGAGAGAG